CTCATGGGGTGAGGTGAGAGGAGAAGACTGGATTGCCTGGGAGCTCATAATCCAGCTAGCCTGATGTGCTGCCTAGTTTTATGTCACCTTGACAACAAATTAGAATCAGTTTAGAAGAACAGTCTTTGGGAAGGAGGGGCAGGAGAGAGTAATGAGAAATGAGTATGGTCAAAGTACATGATATATTTGAACAAAATTGTCATCATGATGCTTACTGTTTGGTACAACAAATGCTCACTAATAAACTTTAAAAAAGGAAAAACTAAAGCTTTGAGACAGCAACTTGGCCAAATTTGTACAATCAGTAAGTAGTAGAGCCAGGAATGACATCCAGTCCATTAGATACTGATTCCTAATTATCCTGCATGGTGCCCCCAAGGGCAAGAGTTAGCACTACTGGAAGGAGGGACATTGTTTGTGACTCTTCCCTGACCTGTCTTTCTTTACTCAGAGAAACCTCTATGCCTTTGGGCACTTGTAGATAATTTTCTTCTTCTTCTTCTTCTTCTTCTTCTTCTTCTTCTTCTTCTTCTTCTTCTTCTTCTTCTTCTTCTTCTTTTTTTAATCTTGTAATAATGTCCCAATAGGACTGTCTGGGTTAGACAGAATGAGGTTCCTCAGCTTGGGTTTCACAGTTTCAAAGCTTACTTCATCTGGGCCCTTGAGGTTTTTGTATAGCTTCCTGCTGTGTCCTTGGCACTGTGTCTCTCAGAAGGCAGCACTGCACGGTGGAGTCTGAAAACCCAGTCTAAATATTTCACAGTGGGTGAGATTTTTTTTTAATCTTTAATGTTTTTGGTTTCAAAGTTTTTGCTGTTTTCCATTGCCTCTATCTTAAGACACTGGGGAACTTTGTTGGGATAGCAAACAACCCAGAAAAGAATGGGGTACTCCCTTGGTGTATAATTACAACCCATAGTCACATCTGTTCCTCTTGAAACAAATATTTGGCCTATCTGTTTGACTGGATTTCCTCTAGTTCCTCCTTCAAGGGAAAATGCTTATTTTATAGGTTTGACCAGAAGCATATTATTTGGAGGAAGCTTTCAAGATTTTGAAACTATACAATTTGTCCTTATAAAATGTACTCACCAAACATAAAGGTCAGAACTGGAGAGTGCAAGGTCCTAGTCTGCCCTCAGGCAGGATCCCACTGAAGTCGTAAAGGAACCACAGAAAGGCTCATGCATGCACTTTGACTCCTTTTGGTGGCCAGCACCTCTGTGTGGCAAGTCAACAGACTGTAAAACACTCACCTGCTTCCAAACAACTCCACTGTTCTCTGTAGCATTCATTCCTAAGAGACACTGGCTGGAATTTGGCTCTCAGGCTAAAGAGCCAGATGTGTTGGTGAACATCTTACCCAAGTAAAGAAGTTTCTCTCACACAGAAATGGGCCTGTTTGGACATTGTCACACACACACACACACACACACACACACACACACACACACACACACACACTCACCTCTTTCATGTCTAGATTCTTCTGACTTGGTATGATGTGTAAGTGCAACACAATATGTGTTTTAGAGTCACGTATTTGTGCTTACAATTACTTACTTCCAGGATTTAAAAGATCATTCCACAATTCCCTAGTTTTTAGGGTTGCTGATGAAGAGGTATAGTTTCTGCCTCTGTATGTGAGTTGGCTGTGAGTTTTGCCTGATAGCTTTTAGTATTCTTTGTTTCACAGTTTTGTTATCTTGACTTCTGTGTGGTGTAGAGAAATTGCTCTCCGGTCATATCTATTTGGTTTTGAATGCTTTTTCTGTATATCTTTTGTAGGTAATGTACAAGAATTTCTTGGCTAGAAGAATTTCCCTTCTTATTAGTCAATAGAGTCTTAGGTGTCATCATTTGAGTGTATCCTAGACTTTTCACAAGTTCTGGTCATGTTTGCTAACCTTTCCTTTCATATGTGTCTGCATGTTGTACTGTCTTGTCTTCCATCTCCAGAATTCATCCTTTTGGTCTTGTCTGTTGCTGGTGTTTATCTCTGTGAGTTTTGTTTGTTTGTTTATTCAATTGATTGATTCTTGCATGGCTGGAATTTCTAGTTAGTTGTTTTTCAGCATCTTAATTTACTTGTCGAATTTTCATGAGTTCATCCTCTCTAGTAACTTTCTTGTCTAGTTCCTGAAACTGATTTCTGTTTTTGAATCCTCTTCATGGTTATTGATCCTTTATAGAAGTGAGACTCTGAAGCCTTTTCTGATTTCAGCTATCTCATTATCTTTGTTTCTTTGGTATTATGAAACTGTCAGCTTTTGGGGGGGGTGTCATGGCGGACTACTGCATCATCTATGTATCTATGCATCACTATGATTTTCACATCTGTTGGGATAGATATGTTTTTAAGTTTGTCACTCCCTAGTTTCCCTCACTGTTTCCCTCTTGTTTGTTTTATCTTACATGAGTCCTCCAGGTAAGCTGCCAATGCCTTGATTTGTGTTCAGAGAAAGTGTACTGCAGTAGCAACCATGATGGTTTGAAAGTAGCCCTACTGCTAAGTGCAGAAGGTACTCTTGCATGTCACAGTGTCCCTGCAAGACTCAGAGACTGCAGAGTTAAGGCATTGTTGGGGAAATGCAGTTTATAGTTTGTTTAGTGCTAAATGTATCAATATTTGCAAAATTCTGAGGAGGGAATGAGAAAGAGAGAAGGGGGTTTAAGAAGAAGGAATGTTCAAGGTAAGAAATAAAGTAGAGGTGATTGTATGTATTAGATTTACAGAAAGGAAGGACAGACATAAAAAGTTTTTCCAGTGATGTGCAAGCTACAAATCCAGCTGAACTCTTGGAGGAAGCAAAGTCTAGGGGAGGGGCTGGGAGGAATGGAATGAGGGGAGGCTATGGTCAGGGTATATTGTATGAAAGAAGAATAAATAAAAGGAAAAAAAAGAAAATTTCTGCCTGAGATCTTCAAAATGAAAAACAAAAAGTACCAAAGCATAAACACAAAAAATGGGGGGGGGGAGAAAAAACAAAAACAAACAAACAAACCAAAAAAACTAAAAAGCAAATGAAAAATGGAAAAAAAAAAAGAGTAAATGGGGGGGGGGGCTGGAGAGATGGCTGGGCAGTTAAGAGCACATACTGTTCTTTCGCGAGACTGGAGTTTGGTTCCTAGCACACAAATCCAATAACTCATCATTGCCTGTGACTGCATTTTCAGGGACTTTGATGTTTGATGTCTTTATCTCCTGCAGGCACCTTCACTCATGAGCATGATGCTCCCCCAGCTATTCATTCTACCCACATACACAAAACAAATCTTTTAAAAAGTGAATTAAAGATTAAGATAACACACACTGAAGAAAGTGCCGTGTGTTGTGTGTGTGTGTGTGTGTGTGTGTGTGTGTGTGTGTGTACTCAGCTCCCCCACCCATTTCCCATATTTACCATGGCTCTGCCTCTTAGGTCCGTGCTGCAGTCAGTTCTGCCACATACCTGGCTGGGGTGGGGTCGAAGACTGAGACTTTTTCAACTTCAGACTCCCTTCCACGCCCCTGGTATCTCCCCAGATGTACTGGTCTCTATGGCTTGTACCAGAATGCAATCCATATGACTCTTCTGTTCCCAGCATCATCCTTTGCTTACCTCTCAGTGGTGAGCAGGATAGGACAGTGAGTGTTTCAGGCCTCAAGTGCTTTTCTGGTGCTGTAATTGTGGCTTGCCATTCTCCTCCTGGGGATGGTGAGTTCAGCCTCTTATTTGAGTTTCCAGCACTGTGAACTGACTCTTGTGGCCTTCTCAGAGTTCTTGACTGCACTTCCCTGGTGGGACCTGGATCAGCATGGGTAGCTTTGCGTGACTGAGAGTGCTGGCTCACTTCTTAATAGACTCGACCTCGTCTTAGTTCTGCAGACCTTTCTTTTATTTCTCCATTGGTGACTTTTTATCTTGGCTTTGTTCTTTCTAAACTCCTGGTTTCACTGATGCTGCTTCCAATCTGCAAATTGTCTGCTTCATAGGCTGACCTTGGGTCTGTGCTGCAGCCAGGCAGGACCTGACCTTGTCATGTTCCTCAGCTCTGAGATTTAACTTTTGTTGCTATTTCTCTGACTGTTAAAAATTTATAGAACTTTTAATAAAATGGCCATTTGTACCAGTTTCACAAGTTGATTATTTTTCTTCTGAGATGTTAATGTTTTACTATTGACGATTTGGATGTTTTAGCTATAAGAGTGTTATCAGAATATTACACAGTGCACTTCATTATGAAATTTTCATACATACATATTACTTATATTTTATTTACCTCCCACATTACCCACAACTTTTCTGTATTCCTGCTTTTATTATCTTTTAGTCATTTTACACTTTCACATCAATTTTTGGTTTTAGATTCCAACTATAATTTTATAAGGAGCAATACATTTAAAGATGCAGATAAAGAGAATAGTGTATATATTGGAAATAGTCATTGTCGTTGAGTATTATGTACTGTATATATTTATATGTACTTTATGCCTTATACACTTATGGCTGGCAGTGAAATAGATTTGCTTTTATTTGAATTACCCACAAACACATGAGTATTGCTCATGGGAACTTGAAAATCACTTTAATTGGCATATATTCACTGTACACAGAGCTGAATTTAATCAGGGCATTTTCATCCAAGTATTTAGATTTTGATCTCATTCTACTCATCTCTTCCATCCTTCCTTTCTTTAGAGAGTTCCACATCTACTGTGTGTGTGTGTGTGTGTGTGTGTGTATGCACGATCCACAAATAAGAGAAAACATTAGATTTATCTTTCTAAGTCTGCCTTAACTTGTATAACACAATGATTTCCAGTTACATCTATTTTCTAACAGATAGCACACTTTTATTCTTCTTTATAACTGAGTAAAATTTTATTTATATATACCATATTTTCTTCATCCATTACTTTGGCTTTTATTTATTTGTTTATGTGGTTCTGATGTTATTGAGACAGGGTCTCACGTAATCAAGGCTGAACTTAAACCTGCTGCACAGCTGAGGATGACCTTGAACTCCTGATCCTACTGCTTCTGTGACACAGTCCTATTCCACAATGCCTTGCTCCAATTCTTTGTTGATGAACACTTATTCCATAATTCAGCTATTGTGAATGATGTGCTAACAATCATCAATGTGTAAGTATTGCTGTGATGTTGATTTAAGGTATTTCAGGTATATACTGAGGGCTGTTCGTCTGGGCCATACAGTGGATTCCTTTTTAACTTCCATACTCTGGCTACACTGATTTACATTCCTATCAGCAGTATATAAGGGCTCCTCTCTTTCTGTATCATTGCCAGCATTTTCAGCTATTTCTTTTCTTATGATTGCCAGTCTGAGTGGGATAAAAGAAAAAAGAAAAATTTCGGTTTCACCATAATCTTCTCAAGCCATTGTTATATGTATAGTTTGTCCTTGACTGAAATAGCAATACATGGTATGAACAAATATATTTCATTTCAGAGCCTGAGAATTTAGTGTATATACCCTCCTATGGCTATTTTGTTAATTCTTTGTATCTTCTTTCTTTGTCTTAGAAGGGAAAACAAGGATCCAAATGGACATCTCCAGATGGATAATGCTAAGTGATTTTTAATAATGTAATCTCTCCTGTGGAGGTGTTACTGGAAATTTTGGGGAATGCCACCTGGTCTACCACATGTTAGTTACCAGGGCATTGGGGTTCTATCTCTTGATTCTTAGTTTCATTAACAATAAAGTTTAAGAATGGATCCAGAAAAGAACATGAGGAAAACTTTATCAATATTTAAAAGAAACACCCCAGGGCAGGCAAGCTGCAAATCCCAGCAGCTGCCCAGAGGGGGAATATGAAGAAGAAGAAGAGAGAAAAACCATGCCATTTGTAAGCAGCCACCTGGCCACAACTGTGAGCTTCAGAGAAAAAAAATGAGAAAGTGTAGAGTGTCTGAGAAAACATGAGCAGACATTAGGACGTATCCAAAAGAACAAAAAAGAGATAAAAACAAGAAAAAAGGACAAGTTAGACTTTCCCAAGTCATTCAGAAAAGTGAGCAGGCTTAGGGTATCTGGAGGCCCATGTCTCATAAGCAACAACATCTGGGGTGGGGTTTCCAGGAAAGAACAATGTGTTATCTCTGAAAGATCAGCAAGAAGGAAAGACGGAAGGACAAGGAAAGGACCTAAGACAACACAAGGCCATTATTTTAGGGAAAACCCTACAGAGGGAGGTCTCTATAAGAATCAGAGCCTCTATCTGTTAGCATCTGGGGCAGTTAATAGGGTAGAAAGGGGAGGGGTTACATCTGGGGTAGTATAGAGTAGAAAGGGATAAGAAAGAGGTTGATAAGTTTCCTGTTTTGGTTGGCAGTTGGCGTTTACTGGGGTAACTAGTAAGTAGTTAAAGAATCCTAGGTGATCAGGTGATTGATAACTATTCTTCCTGGCTGGCTGTTATTTGAAGTCAACAGGGCAGGGAAGACAAGAATCTAGAGTAACAAGTTACTTTAGATTTGAAACAAAATTACCGAAGTGACTAGAATTGTCAAAATTGAACCACGATGAATCTGCTTCACAAAGTGGAGTGTCCACCGCTACAATTCTTGGTATAGATAAGAGGAAGCCGGACACAGTTGTCATTCTTGTAGCTTTTTCCTGTTGGAAAAGGGGGGCATCCTCACTGGGAGGTCTTAGGGAAGTTTTTGGTACCAGAAATTTTGGAAGAGAAGGATGTTTTTGACATCTCTTTTGTCAGTGTCCTGGATAAAAAAAGCTTAGTCTTTGGCAGGCTCATTAAAGGGGTAATTATTCCTTCCATTTCTCACATGGCTTAAGATGAATCCACCTTCCCGAGGCAAGGATTTGGCTAGGTGATTGACTGGCTCAACTGGATTAGTACTTATGTTTTGGGAGGTTTGGAATGTAATGTCTCTACCCACACCCAGAAAATAGTTTTCTTTTAACAGGTTTCCCCAGATCCCTGATCAAGTCTCTCATAGTAGAGGTGTGTTTCTGATGTTATCAGAAGGGAACAAAGTTGTCAATCCTACCTAGACAGTACTTACAGGTAAGGACAATGAATACTTCTCATGATGAAGTAAAAACTCAGTTCCCTTCTTGGTTTGACTAATAACCCTCCTCTACAGATAGATTTCTCCTGGCACCTGGTAGAAGGGATTATATTCAATTTTTGATATTCACAGAATAGGGTATCTCATTAGCTTAAAATTGGGTAAATCTGTCTGTCTTTTTTGGATGTAACTATAGTGAACTATTATCACATTATTGTCAGTCCTTTTATGTTCTTATCTGTAACATCAATACTGTAACTGAATAAGTTGACCATGAGTAATTAAAATTGAAGACCAGGGCTAGCACAACCTGTGGGCACTGTAACTTATTTAAAGCTATGCTACCATTGTCTTAAGTTTGAATAAGAAGCACAGTGTTTCTTTTTATTTGTACTGGACCCTGAAAATTATATAGACAGTCCTGCTGATGCTTAATAGCTCCTGTATGCTCAAGAGTTAACATTCTTCCTTATCTGTTAATTACCCACCATTTTGCAGAACAAAGAGGCACAGTTTTCTTTATTAGCTGTTCATTGTCCCCTCTCCTCCAATTTTCCCTTTACTGTCAATACCACACATTTTGAAGGTCCTCAATAACACCTGACGTTGAGTAGAGTCTTACACGACAGAAGGAAGCACCATTACTCTTTCTGGAAGAGGCACAACGAACCTTCCTATTACACAGGAGATCCTTGGCCAAAGGCTCTCCAGAAGTGCCACTTACTATGTCTACACCCCCTTTCCATAGCAGGAACAGTGTCAACAGATTGTGCAGGAAGCCTCTGCACTCGCTCATTGTAACTCCAGCCCCCATCTGCTCTGATGTTAATTCAACAATTTTCCTCCTTTCATCTCCCCCACCTCTATTCTCAGCGGAGCAGCTTGAATGAGGCTGCTGAATGGAAGCGAGATCACACCTTTCTCCTCTCAGAGGCTTCCTGTGGCTTCCCATTCCACCTGGCCCTTGAATATGTGAGGTGTTTACTGGCTGAGAACTGGTCCCTTTTCTCTCTCTGGGAAGCTCTTGCCCTGGATATCTTCAAGGTGTTCTCTCATCTTCTTCAAAGGCTTTCTCAAATGTTACTTGCCTATTCTGACATCCTACCTAAAATTTCAAGGGAACTTATCTTCCTGTCATCTTGCATAGCAACCATTATACCTCTAACCTGCTTTGATTCTTTTCTCTCTCCTCATCTAACACATGTGTAATTTGCTTATATTTGAAACTTATTAAATTCAATTTTTATAAAATCTGAATTTTTATGCATTTGTTATAGATATAGATACGAGAATGGCATCTGGCGCTCAGTGGATACTAAATAAACACCCATTGTGTAAATGTTTGAACTGAGGACAAATGCACCTCCTGCATGATAAAGGGCTGGTTATTCTCCTCCTGATACACACATTCCTTGCCCAACTGCATCCCTGCTTTGGATTGGATTTCACATACAGGTCAAGTTGCTTCTCTGTGGCCTGCCCTTCTGGGGAGGGAATTGATTTACTTAAGTTGTGCTTTGGTCTAGTACTTGAATCAATCATTTTTTGGAACAGTATTGAGGTTTCAGAGTAGGCCCAGAGGCTACGAGTTCCCTTATATTGATAAAATGACATCATTTGGAACATTCCCTCAATACCAGGTTAAAAGACTTAAGAGTTTCTATGGCTCAAGACTGTGAGCTCTTTCTTAGGGTCTGACATAAGCCCTGCTAATTTTCTGTGTGTTGCCCCTGAATATGAGCTGCTGCCTCCAAAGAAGCCTTATTCTTACTCTTTCCCTTGCTTTTATAAATGTCATCCAGGAAATACTGTTTTAAAAACTCTGATATGTGACATATGTATTTTTTTTTCATTTTAAATGACAGCGGATAAACATTTTCAGCTAAGTGGCAGAATATAAGATTAACTAAAAAAAAAAAAAAAAAAACTAGCTCTCCTATACACAAATGACAAATGGGCTGAGAAAGAAATCATGGAAACAACACCCTTTACAATAGTCACAAATAATATAAAGTATCTTGGGGTAACTCTAACCAAGCAAGTGAAAGACTTGTATGACCAAAACTTGAAATCTTTGAAGAAATAAATTGAAGAGGATATTGGAAGATAGAAAGATCTCCTTGTGCATGTGGGTCAGTAGAATTATTATAGTAAAAAGGACCATCCTAACAAAAGCAATCTACAGATTCAGTGCAATCCTCATCAAAATTCCAGCACAATTCTTTACAGACCATGGAAGGATGATTCAATTTCCAACTTCATGTAGGACAACAGCAACAACAACAAAAACTCAGGATAGCTAAGAACTGGTTTCAAGCTGTGCTACAGAGCTATAGCAATATAACTGCATGGTATTGGCATAAAATGAACACGTTGATCAATAGAATCAAATTAAAGATCCAGACATAAATCCAAATGCATATGAACACCTGATTTTTTGATAAAGAAGCCAGAAACACACACCAGAAAGAAGACAGAATTTTCAGTAAGTGGGATTGGTATAACAGGATGCCATTTAGAAGAATTCAAATAGATGCATTTTTATCACCCTGCATAAAGCCCAAGTCCAGGTGGGCTTCAACATAGAGCAAAATACACTGAACCTGATAGAAGAGAAAGTGGGGAATTGCCTTGACTGCATAGGCACAGGGACAGCTTCTTGTACAGAACACCAATAGTGCAGGCTGAGATGAACAATAAATGGAGCTGAGAAACCTCTGTAAGGCAAAGGACACCACTGTAGTTGGGTTCTTTCTGTCTGGCCCATTAGTTCCCACAGTCACTTATGAAATTACAGTCTGTGGCTTAAGATTAAATGTAATTATTTGGCCAATGACTCAGACATATTACTGGCTAGCTCTCTCTTATAAATTGACCCATTTCTATTAATCTGTTTATTGCCATGAGGCTGTGACTTACCGGTAATGTTCCGGCATCTTACTTCTTCAGCAGCTTCAGTAGACTCTGTCTTCTTT